GACTTAAAAGGTAACCTGTGGTAGTCAACGAAAACATACAATATATTGGTGGTAATAGTCGGACAGGACGACTTAAAAGGTAACCTGTGATAGTCAACGAAAACATACAATTCACAATATATTGGTGGTGATAGTCGGACAGGACGACTTAAAAGGTAACCTGTGATAATCAACGAAAACGTACAATATATTGGTGGTGATAGTCGGACAGGACGACTTAAAAGGTAACCTGTGACAATCAACGAAAACATAGAAATATTGGGGGTGATAGTCGGGCAGGACGACTATAAAGGGAGCCTGTGTTCAGAGTTTAAGAATGCAAGTGAATGTAGTATAAATAGACAATGCGTTCTTTGTTGCTTGTATGTCGATTGGATGCCCTGGCCAGGCGTCTGCCCCGACGTACCGGTGATAAAGCGTATTGCGGGCGTGGTATACAGATTGTGTAACAGAAGTATAGATCTATCAAATGACGAATGGCAAAGCACAGCACATCTTTTCACATTAATGCTGACTAAATGATTATCTTGAACTTGACATCAGATCCTCAACAATAAATATGTTTGAAACAGTACACTGCCGCTAAGTTCCGTTTCTAGGTCAGGGCCAAGGAATTCCCGAGGACGGGAATATACAGGATGGCCGAAATGTTATGAAGAGCGGGAAAGACAGACCGAGCGACGGTGGCTGGAACGCCAAGGCCAGTGTGCGTGTCCCGAAACGCTGAATAGACTGATTGTTCATAATTTTATAAACATTTTTATATAAACAAGGTAGTTGGATACAGGAATAGAGACGAAGGATAAGTTAGAATTAGAGAGTTGAATAACGAACAATAATAATTGAGAATGTACATTTTACTTTGATTAAAGGAAATTATTGGCAATAATTATTTTTGTTTATAACAATGTTTCTTAAGAAAAAATGCAGTTTGAACCTATATATCTGCAAATATACTTGATATTGTGATGAATGAATTCCTTGTAAAAAGTTGTCAATAAATCATATTTTACTTTCAGGATATCTTTAGTTGCAAATCTAACATTTTGGCTCGAAGGCTCAAAAACGGGATTCAAAAATGAATTGTTAATTTCATGAAAGTTAAATCATATTTTCAAGCCTCTGAGCCCAATTTACAATGAAATGGGCAGAGCAAATGTTTATTTTCTGACGAGTATTTCAGTTATTAAACTATGTATTCCGAAATAAATTTGAAGTCCTCAAACATAACGTTATTTTACGAAATTAGCCATTTAAAAAAAAATACCATAAATAATTTGAGACAGTAAGTTTGTGGTAAAGCTAGAAGAAAGAAGAACCTTAAAACATATTCAAATAATTTATATCATTGAAATATCACAAAGTTACATGAAATCTTTCAACATTAATTGGCTAAAACAGAGTTCAAATAATACGTTATCAAGACTGGAAAAATCTGATGACAAAATTAGATACATATTTTTAATTAAAACAAAAAAACTGGTTAAAATAGCTAAATTCAATTCAATTTAAAAAAAAAAAACGAAAAGTTTAATGAGCCCTATTTAAAGTAAAAGTGCTTTTTATTTTTGGCAAGAATTTAATCAACTAGATATTTAAAAAAAACTTTTTTTTCTTTAGAATTCTAATGTACTTATGTCTGTTGCATTAGTTTTACAGAAAACGTGTTCATGAAATTTTTTTAATAATTATGCTAATTATATGACCGTTGAATCCAATTTATTAATTAAATTAGTTATGATACACGTTTTGTTTAGATAGGAACTATAATTAGCTATAAAATAAGTAAAATGGATAGGAAACAGTGAGAGCAAGCAATAAATAAGAACCACCTTTATGTAATAATACAGTCTCTAGTACCTCAACCAGTAAATAAAAATGAATTGGAAATAAAAAGCCTGTTTAGTTGTTGAAGATGTAATAAAACATTGCCTATGCTAGAATATCGACATTTAGTTTGCTCGTTTTTGTTCATTGTTGGCCAATATAAACGATTCCACACAATTTTATACCGAGCAATCCAGAATGATTGAAGCTGACGTTACACGTAAATGTTATAAAAAATATTAAAATTTACTTCCATTTCCATTTGATCAAAATTACTTTACACTTTCTTAAATTTTCGACTGACACAATCTGTCAATTCAGAGACGTATGTGCTTTCCGTGTGTGCTTGCTGCTTTATTTATTTGTGTTCGCCGATTGTATTTTTATTTGAATTTATCGTTAATCTTCTAGATAATCAGTATTTTTTAACGCTAATCATCTGTTAACTGTTAGTTTTGTGATAAGGAAGCAAATACTGAGGGACCTTTGATATGAAGTACTTGAACTGTTTTAGGTTAGAAAATGGTGTTTTCGTTAGAAAACAATAAATTTATTGTAGAGGCCTACTTTCGAAGTGATCAGTGAGATGAAAATGGATAGAATTATTCAATCTATTCATGTTTTTTGCAATTCCAGGAGGTTCCCAAATTATGAAGACGCAGATTATAAGTTTTGCTCAACATGTTTGGTGACAAGATTCAGAAATACTGGCAGTATTTGTAAAGGGAAGTCACCTGGAAGAAAGTTAGTTTTAACTGAAGATAAAACTGGAGGATGTTAGAGACCATATAGCAGCAAGCCCCACTAAGCCTTTACAACTTTCAGCTCAGGCGGGTAAATATTTATAAAATGTTAAATATCAGTATTTACAAAATATTAATCAATTTTGTTAAAATAGGAGTTTTTGTTGACATATCTCAGCGAAACATAATTGGACCTATTTTCTTTGAAGATAATGTTACTGCTGAGCGATACAGACAAAACATTTTGCAGCCATTTTTAAATCAACTATACGATGAATTGCACAATTGTTACTTTCAACAAGATGGGGCAATAGCACACAGCACTGCAATTCCTAGAGAGAATTTTATGACGATCGTGTTATTAGTCGAGGCTCATAGCCTCCAAGATCTCCGGACTTAACTCCCTTAGATTACTATCTCTTTGGAACATTAAAAAATTCCATATACATATGTATACCGTTTACACACAGTGAATGAACTAAAGGACGTCATAACAAATAAATTATCTAATATTACAGAAAATGAATTACATAATGTATTTGACAGTTTAAAAAGACGAGTAAACCTATGTATTCGGAACGAAGGCAGACATTTGGAACATTCATTATAAATAAATTGTGATTAAAAATATTAAACATATTTATTAATTACAAAAATTATTATTACTGGTAGAAGAATTTTGCTATTTTGCTTAAAATTAAAAGTACATATTCATTTTTATTTAACTTTAAACCAATAAAGAAATTTTAAATCGATTTTTTATTCACATTTCTAAATGAGGGAAGTAATCATAAATTTGTTTAAAAATTGTTGCTTTTACTTTGTTGGAATAAAAAAACAAGATCCACCACTGAACGAAATAAATCACTGTCAGTGTTGCCAACTACGAAGAGCGGAACACAAAATATTTAAAAGTAGCAACATCATCAATCATTCTGGATCTCTAGGTATAATGTATGTACGACAATATTCAGCTATTATTTTTAACGGTGACGAGAAAATTACAAAATATGAAAAGTTTACTTTCATGAAATTCAATAATCTCAGTAGATAACCAGTAAAATTTATTTTGTCAACGTTCATATTTCTAACCAGTTAAAGTTGAAATTCAAAGATTTCTGCTGCCTTTGAATGTAGAACCTGCATTGTACAATTGATTATTCTAACTTCTAGCTTTAAATGTAGGATATACTCATACATATATTGCAATACTTACATGCATACTTGGAAGGCACAAATACCACTGCATTCGTTAGCTTTATATTTATATTTGGTTCATAAATCAGTGCAGAGTAGTACTATTAAGTTTGAAATGGAATTGTATATTAAACAGGTCTCTATAAATCTTTAGTCCCATCACTCCTGGTGTTGTAACAGGTACCATTAAGAATAAAAACTCGTTATTTGAAATATAAATGTAATGCCCTAATATGACATTGAATCAATGATGCTTATTAAATATGGACTATATTAAATAAGCTCGGTTCCAATTCTATCGGTTTACACATTAGATGCAAAATGTATTGTTCTATGATACGAGACATTTCTAGCCATTAGAACTTTTTTAGGGTAAATCCAATAAATTTGTCATCTTCCATTGTTTTTTCACAACGTAATGTTAACATATTAAATGCATGTATGTATTTAATAATTGGTTCCAATTAGAAAAGCGCAAATTCCAGTTATGTTGTACATACATATGCTCTGCTCGTAAAAGTTTTAACGTGGGATAAGGGGTAACGATGTGTTCTTACACGAGAAATTCCATAACTTCATTTACTGCTCGACAAATGTATAACCTTAATAAATAGTTAACCATTAAAATAAATGTATGAGTAAAGATTATTAGTCTGTCTAAGTAATTATAAAATGCTGAGCTTGCAAATTGTATGTTTCTTTGATACTTTTGATGTAAATTTTAAATTCTTTATTTACGATTCGTAACACCCCAAAACGCTGATAACTCTGTGATTTTTCAAAAAATTTGCCCAAGGGATTCTTTACCCTTAAATGTCGTGAATCTCTGCCCTGATCTATACAGCACAAAGAACAGTTATGATGTATTACATTCTTCTATTTCATTAATTCAACTGTTCGAGAAATAAAACTTGCATCTATTTTTGAGATATCTAAAAATTAATAAACAGCCTGACTTCCGTCATAATTGAGTGCATTATAAATTGACATCGACTTATGACTATATTCGTAGAATTGAATCAATCAAATAATAATGGCATGATAACAGGAATGACCATTTACAAACAGACATCTTTCGTCAATGTGCAGTACAATAATCTTCAATTTACTCTCGTTTTGTATACATCTCTGCGTACTGTTCATTTTTTGCTATCTTTGCACATAATCCTATTATATGAATAGTAGTATGTCAAAAATTGAATTCAAGTTTCTGGCAATAAAATTTGTAGTTACCTCCTCATTTTAGATATCTTTAATCTCCTGGCATAATCAGATGAACGTGCAGGAATAACTCTCTTTCGTACTGCATAAGAAGTTTCTGCGAGACGTCTTCTATTTGGGCGATCTCTTAATCTTAGGCCACGGGCTCCTCTTGAGCTAATGCGGCCCCTGTATGAACCGCGAGATGAAGGAGGGCCCGGGGGCCTACGAAAGTCGTCTCTTCTGGAAAAAGGTGTAGATGTCGAGTGTCGATCGCCAGAATAATTCCTCCGATCTGAATAACTCGTGTGCGAGTCATGTCTACTTGCACCATATCCACCAAAAGAACTATCGTGACGTGAGCTAGAAGCCTGAATAACATAATTAAGAAACAACGTAATTTATCTTACAAAATATTCGTTTGTTAAATTAACTGGAATTATTAGTATATTTATGAAACTTTTTTGTTTCATAAAATCGAATTGAAAATAGAAAACCTTATATTAAAATCAGTATTATAATAAGTAAAACAAGCAAGTAAATATAAAAAAGTTCAAAGATATATGCATATTATGGAAAGAAAATTGTACTGAGAAAGGCGAGGCTTAAACTAGCAGTCAGACTCATCAGCGCGATCATCACAGTACTGCATATAAAATACCGATTATTTAAAACAGGAAAATCGTATTATAGGTTTAAAAATAATCATAACATAGTATAGAAGCTAATGTTTATGCGAATGATATTACATTACTTATATTACACCGTATATTATATATACTTATATTACACAATTATATTACAATTACACCGTATTTTGCGCAATAATAATGTAGATAAATTATTTTAGAAAAGAAAAATTATATGTACCTGTTTTCCTATGTCAAATCGGTACTCCAAAAAATTGTAGTTTATTTGAATCCATCTACAAATGAAATTGTAAGGGTACACCCCTGGTATATTGCAAAAGAATTGTTCAAATGCTGCCCAGACCCTCTCTTTATTAATAAATAACTTTAATGAGACTCGTACCATGAATTGAAAGAGAAAATTCTTGAATACATTTTTAGGTGTCCTCTATATATAAAACCAGAATTGTAAGGGTACACCCTTTAGTTATCGCAAAAAATTGTTTATATCGTCGCCAGATCCTCTTTTTATAAATAAATGGCTGCAGCGAGTTTCGGGCTATGAAAAGCTGAAAAGATTGTGGGAAGCATTAGAAATTGTCCACTGTATTCAATTTTATACAATTAAGAAGGGTCTGGGCACCATTTAAACAATATGTTTCACGGGAAAACACTACATAGGAGGTGCGTCGGTCAAACTCGTGCGGCTTCAGCGGTGGGGATGTCGATCTCTATGTGCGCGGCCGTGCGGCGCTGTGGCGTACGTAATCATATCTCACATCACTGTTGCAGCACCCAGCGCTCCCCACCTTTCCGAATTTACAAACTCGAAAGAAGCTAATTCCCTATGTAGCGTTATACGGTGAAAGCACGGTATAGGGCGTGTACCCTTAAAATTTCATTTGTGAATTATAAAAGATGGATTCAAATAAACTCTATAATTTTTTGGTGTACCAATCCGCGGAAGGAAAAGACGTATAACTCACAAGTTTATCAAGATTATTATTGCGGAATATAAGTTGCAAAAGTAATACAAGTTCATAATTTGCATAAATATTAATCCCTATACTATTTTATGATTTTAAGACTGTAATACCATTTTTCCTGTTTTAAATAATCTATATTTTATATGCAGTATTGTAACAGTCATGCTGATGAGTCAGGCTGCTAGTTTCATCCTCATCTGAGAGTCAGTTACCTATATAAACTGGTGCAATATTCTATTGAAAAAATCTTACGGGTGACTCTCAGACCAAATATAAGAAAAAAACCTCAAACGAATGTAGGACAATGCAAAATGTTTTGAAGGTACAGGATAACAATCTTTTATTATTTAAGATATTTACATTTATTTAACGTTCCTTTTTGGAGACTGTTGGAGTATATGAATTACTGTTTAAAATGATTTGAGTGATATCTTTTTTGTAATCACGACTTCTCTAATGCAAGAATTTTTTTTGTGTGTGATGGTAGCAACTTTTTTTGAGAAGACTTATTTTATCCTTCAAATTTTTATTTAATGATTTTTTTTGTGTATTTAAACTGTTCGCACAAAGTTCATCACAGTGTGATAACTTTTTATATAGGGTGTCCCTGAAAAGTATTGACAATGCTTGACCACAGCACAGAGTAAGTAATACAGAGGAGACGGCCGGCGGAATGCCTTTGATGTCTGGACATTCTCTAATTTGACCTTGTCCCTTTAAATGGGGAGTGGGCAGTGTTTGCCAGACTCTCTGTTTTTCCCTAGAAGCAATGTTGCCTTTTACCTACTTTCCGTTTTTTTTTTAAAATTACGTATTGGGTGATGTTGCGTTGTACTTTAGAAAGATATATTTTTGGAAAAGTATTCCAATTCACATTATATTTAGGAATATTTGACATACCTATATTAATTGCCTAAACAAATTAATAATGGGAGCAAAATACCTTAACTGTGTTTTTAACACCAAAAAGAATCGAATACCTCGATCCTGAAAAGTAATGAACTATACAGCACTTACTTTAAAAATGTGAGATGTTGAAACGTACATTATTTCAAAGTTTTGTTAAAAAGGAAATAGGAAATCTACTGACTTTTATAATCTTTATGTGTTGACAATCTTTTAGGTTTTTTGCAATAATTGTGCTAGTGGTTTCATTCATTTTTGTCTTATTTGATAGTAAATTTGACGTAAATTAGTTCAATTAAAAACATAAGAAACTAATATAATTATATAAAAAATACAAAATAAAAAATTTAGTATATTCATTTAACTTATGGATTGAAATATAAAAAAAAATTGTTGAAATACCCTTTATGTCTCTGGCTAACTGTGTATTACTGATTTGTTGACTGATAATTGTTTAATTAGAACTTTAATACCGTGGGTGAAATAAAACAAAAGTAAATGTAAATGACACTGTTCTTTTTCTTATCCAGCTGTAATGGAATCGGTGTAATTTCACATTCAAGACACTAATATCAGTGTTTTCTTAATTAAAACAAATATAAATCGTGCACATTGTTTCTAAAATTACCATTACAGCCACGAGTTCACCTACCCTCTTTATGCTTCTTATAATAAGACATATGAATGCATTTAAACTTTGTTAATTCACGGTGTTATTTTTTAGTCATTATCCTGAGTACTCCAGTTTCACCACCAGCACCAATTCAAAAACCTTACCACACACAACAAGGGAAGAATATATAACACCAGTTAAATATACAAAATGCACTAGCAAATGTAATTTTTTAAAAGTGTCCAAATATGTATATTTGGACGATTAACAGATCATTGGGATTTCTAACACCCACACCCAGACACACACACATATCATATCTCTCGGTAAATCTTGAAAATGTTAGATGACCAACAATTGTGAAAAAAATTGACGTTTTTTTGATATTCGTATATTTATTTTTTTTTTAAATTACATTTACTTTTTTTTCTGGTTTTTTATTAAAAATAGGACACAACTTAATGGCAGATTTCTGAGATAAAAAAAAAAAGCCACAATGATGCCCCTTTTCAAAATATACTATAGCAAGGGTCGGCAAGTAATTTTAGGTGGTCCGGATACTTTTGAAAATTTTTAACAAGATCCAGGAAAAAAACTCATATTCCTTACTAATTTTTTATTTTAATTTGCACTCACAAAATAATATGAAATACAATAGATGATAGGCATATTTGTATTCAAAAATCAATGGGAGAAATTACATTTGCGGTCTTGAATTAGTTTCTTTACTAACCTACTAACCATTAAAAAATTATAAGGGTGGCAATCAAATGTATTGTTATCTATAAGAAAAATATATTTTTAAATAATTTGAGTAATTATACATTCAAAAAATTTTTGGTGGTCCAGTTTTTTACCTTCTGCGATCAGTATCTGGACCGCGGTCCGCCAGTTGCCAACCGCTGTACTATAGGTTGCAGCCATGTGACTTCAACAATCTTAATAATGTATAACCCAAACAAAAACTACTACAAAAATTACAAGTATGTGTTGGATAACTAAAACAATGAAAATAAGGCATCAATGAGACAAAAAATCAATTTAAATTGCCAAAAGTGTGCATAACAGTATTAACGAAAGAAAGCTATTTCAATAATAAAATAACTTTTTTAGAATCTTATCTTTGAACTTCGTAAAATTTTGAGAATTTCTCATTCCCAAATTAATTTGCACCTTATTTTAAATGTTATGTAATAAGTTAATGCTCATGGAGGATCGGGAAATGGGGGTGAAGTGGGATGTGGGGGGCCCTATACTTACCATGTTAAATAATCATTGCTGTCAATGCAAAGAAAAATATTCTTATACTAGTGAGTAAGTAGGTTGAGAAACTTGTTTGTAGATATTGAATAAAATCGAGTTTAAAATACTCATAATTACATATTTCCATCTTTCAATTATTTTTTACCCAATATGCATAATTTAATGTCATGACTTGCAACATAAACTTGCCAACAGCGCACCAGTTTATTATTTGTAAGTTGGCAGTCCTTGTATATAGGTATACATTATGCAATGATCGCAAGCACAGCGGACTGTTTTAACCTCTAAGATATTAGTTGAAGACCAGAGTCGGTAGAAAGGAAAATTTATTGCCAAATGTATGTGCTTGAGAATTAGAACAGAAAATTGTAGAGCCTGAACCTCCGTACATCGTTCGAGGACATTGACTAATCAACATGGCACAAACCATGCACCACTCTTTGCAAAGAACGTTTATGTAATTTAGATTATTTACAAACTGTGATTACGAAGAAATTCACATAGAAAAGTTTAAATATGATTTAGTTACATGCATACGTAGTATACTACTAATGTGCACTTCTGTGAATACAAACGTTCCTTATAAAACTTAAGCGTTTAAACTGTTTAAAGCGATTGTATTTAGGAAAGTATAATACAATTCGATATAATATACAGGGTTAACTATCACTTAGTATATAAATTTTAAGTGAGGATAGAGAAAAATAAGATTTAACAGAATTGCCCTTCAAAAAATTTTTAAAATTGCTTTTAAAGCTGAATATTTGTTTTCTAAACCTCAGTGAAACCCCTATTTCACGACGGCTTTGACCGTCCGTCAGTCGCGAGATGCGAATTTCGCATACGGCAACGGTAGTGAAACAGCGCCGCGTTGCCACTAGGGTTGCCAGATGTCCGGTTTTCGACCGGACAGTTCGGTTTTTTTATGCCTGTCCAGTTGAAAAAAGTTTGGTAAACCGGACAAGCAAATGTCCAGTTTTTTGTTGAATTCATAAAATATCCTGCAATTTCGGAAAAAATTTTTGCCTAAAAACGATAACAGCAGCAACAGCGCGCGGAAAACGAATTTATTTCGCCGCTGAACTTGTTGCGCAAATCTAACAGGCAACAATGCACTGGATTCGTAGAGTGAAAACTGAAAAAGTCCGCCTCGCTTGATAGTTCCGTAAACTTGTGTACTGCGTTGGTATGACTCATAGCTTATCTCAAAATCCACTACTACTACTTAAAAGCAGCGGCATCTAATGCAAAATATATTAAAAAATGAAAAAGATTTTAACATTAGTGACATTTTTTTTACTTAGGTATAAATATTGTTTTGTTTGTTTGTTTGTTTTTCATTGTGGAATAAAAGAATTATTTATTTAATTTGTTTTTTTTTTTGAGCACATCTGGCAACCCTAGTTGCCACGTGTATCGATTATCCGCGCATTTGAAGAAAAACTTTTATTTACAAAATGTTGACGATTATTTGATAAGAAAGACATGCAGAATATGTTGGCACCGAGGTTAGCATCTACCTTTCTGATATTCCGATATGGTACTCAGCCCGACGACCACGACCAGGTGGATCCCCTCCGTTGGGAAAACCATAAATTAAAAATTAACACAATAACACTGCCATACGGTTACGGCCAAAGCACTACAACAGTTGCTCAAAGAGGCCGTCGTTAACCTGGACACACAACTTCAATCGATTAACCAATGAGCCACAGATGCGTGCAAAAAAGTCCAGGATTGTTGTGAACTTGATCAGCTGCACTTTGAATTCGTGCATGTAACTGTTGTACATTGTCGACCTCTGTTTCATAGACAATGGATTTCATGTAGCCCCAAATACAAAAGTCCATTGGATTTAAATCGGGTGAATGAGGTGGGCATCGTGTTGGTCCCCCCAATCCAATCCAATGATTAGGACACTGTTTACCCAAAAATGCACGCACAGGTCTGGCAAAATCATATGTTTGAATATTATTAAACAATAAATTTGCCCCTTGAAAGAGCTAAGAAAATTCGTCGAATAATAATAAAAATAAAAAATGACTATTGCGATATGTAACTAAAAATTAAACGCCTTCTTTCTTTATTTTCAAAATTTACATACGTATTTAAAATGCCAGCACGTGTAAAACAGTATTCGTCAGTCCAAAGAATGTTAGAGACAAAGTTTGGGGCCTGTTCAATTTGATTTTGTAACCAAGTACAATATGCCATTCTCACCGGAAAATCGTTGGCATTTAACGCTTGGACCTTTTGGATGTGATACGGATGAAACCCATTCTCCTTTAGAATCCTCCAAGCCTGTCAATATGTCAATGATGTATTACTATTTCTTCCACAACTTAGTTTTATTTCATTTTGCTTGCCTTGTTCTGCGATATTTCCAGTTTTCTTGCGATCATTGTTGTAGTGCTTATGGAAGGTTCTTGTTCTACCAAATTTAGTACGACTTCAACATGGTCCAAATTATTTTGACCTCCTGGTCCTCCTCTACGTGCTTTTAATGTGGCAGAATCTCGCATACGTTGCACAATTCTTACAAATGTGGGGGAATTTGGCATATTTTGTCTGTTCGGAAAACGCCACCGGTATTCCTCTGCTGCACGATTTGCACTTTGATCGCACTTCTCGTATGTTAACACCATATGCGTCATCTCGGAGTTTGAATATGGCATGTTTGCAAACACAAATTCACTTCAAGTAAAAAAAAAGTAAGATACAAAACCACCACCTATTCGTTTTCAACATCCTTGTAGAGTTTTACACTAATAAATAATAGTAAACACAAATAATTACTTACTAAAAGTACGTACGTGAACAAAAACACAAACATCGACAAAACGACAAATTATTTGAACTCAACAGCTGTTTGTTCTGTGAAAATAGAGTCGTAGTCACCTATTGAAAATTTGAAACAGCCCCATCTCTAGGCAAGTAGCGTAAGGTGCACTTCAGACATCTCGTTTTTAAACTTCTTTTGCTGTTGGGGAATTAAATAGTGATATTAGTAATAAAAATAAAAACAAAAATCGTCGATGTTCGTATAAAATAATTAGTACCTATTATTTTAAGCTGTAAGTCCCCGGGGTATTTATAGTTTTCTGTAATAATTCAGCAGTACCTATCCAGGCCACTAGATCAACTTGAGTCGCGCGATTTTCGGGTTATGTTTACATTCACTACAGTTATCAAGGCACCGTATTGTATGCAATTACACATACGTTTTCCAGTATCCCAATAAATATATTCAAGATTATATATAATGTACGTGAAGAACATGCGATGTGAACAAATCTAAAGGGATGTTTTGGAGAGTCGAATGCAAATTCAACACCGCTACGGATATCAGAAATCAAATTAGACGCGGGTGACTGGTGCATTCCGATTTTTCGATTATTATTCCTTTTGTTAAATTCCTATTCACTTCAATGGACATTTTAATTAATTGTGTGTGGTGGTGTTTTATTGTTACTGTGTAGTCCTAACGGATCTGCAATGTGCAAAAATGTTGTTTTGATAGTATGCAACAACGGAACTAACAACAACAAATGTAAAATTCTGCCACGATCTGGATTAACATCTATCAAGTAGGTATTAATAAAAAATGTTTATTTCTGTCGTTTCTACAATGGCAAAATGTCAACGCCTTTAAATATTGCTGAACAGCTGTGTGAAATCATGTCAGATGACGATTCATAACTGTCGATTTACAGGGAACAAAGGGGGTTTTGCCCTATTTTTTAAACATCGAGCTAAAATTTCGAAATATTTTTATTACCTTTTAGGCCTCCCTGAGCGTGTGGTCAAAATTTATGTACTAAGTGATAGTTAACCCTGTATTAGTATTATGCCGTGATACAATGATAATGCAGCCAAAAATATTTTAAAAAATATATTGAAATTTAATTTGTGTATCGAAATGCTTATTTAAATTTCCCACCATCTAACCTCAGTCATACTCTATTGCGCTGTTGCCGTTTATTACACGGCGGAAGACAAGTCAGAACTTTTTATGTTTTATAATTTATTGCTCATCTATTAATCAATTATTCAGGTAGTCTATATTTTTTGTTTTTACCATTTGAATTTTTTCACCGGTAATTCGATTGTAAGGGTATGTATGATAATATTTCCCATAAGAACCTATGTAAATAGTCAAATTTTTGACAGTAATTAAATATAAATCGATAAATAATTCAAGAATAATTCACAGAATTTGTTTTGTTCACATTGCAAAAATAATATATCTCAATAAAACAAAATTGGCTGAATTTTTTCGTACCACCCGATTCTCCTTAACATGTAGTGAAACAAAGAATCACTTTTGTTGGGTTTTTGACTTTCAATAAATATTTTTTCACTCTATTATAAAGGTACTAAACTAATTCAAATAAATTATTTACAGTTTATCAAATTATCAACAGTTAGGTATCTTGCCTGTCCATATTAAATATCTTTTGCATACCTATATTTTTAATATCAAAGAACACCGTTTGATTTCGTTTGATAGGATTTTCCTAGGAAAAAATTAAATTTACCTAAATTAGTTCTTTACAATACAGTAAATGTCAGACCTAATAATATTGTTAAAAAAAAATTCAATACCATTTTTTCTCAAAATTAAGCAAACTTAATAGTGGTAAAAATAAAATTTTTGAAATTCTCACCCTAAAAATTAATTACTCAAATTTCAGTTGAAATGGTTTCGAAAATAGTGCTAATACAAATTTTTCTATATATATTGACACTGTATTAATTGAAACAGAGCAACATTTGCTTAGGATATATTTGGGTCAATCACCCTATCTGACTTCAACATATAAACTTTTTTCTTATTTTTGGCTTGGGAATCATATCGTACAATTTTGTCAGAATATTCAACACCTGGATAAATAATACTTTAGCTATGATACTAATTTGTTATTTAAAATATGTAGTATACCCTTTCCTTACACTTTTTTCTCAAATAATTTGTTCCTCATCTCGCATCATATAAATGGTGTAACAAAAATTAACCAACATAAAAAATCAAAAACCCTTACCGTATTTTAGAAAAAGAAAAAAAAAAATGAGTGTGGTTCACACCCATTATTCAGTCAGTTCATGTTCATTACACCCTTTATTTTGTCACCAAATCAGAGGTTGTGCAACGTATATCAAAATACTTTCTTGAATTGAGGAAAACACAAAAACAATTGCCAGAAAAATACTTTTTTCAAATTCTAGTAAATGCTTTCCTGTTTTCCTTCTTTTTCCTTATGTATTACAAAATGATAAATAGAATCTTACCTCTAATCTCAATCTTTTTCTATCTGGAGATCTTCGTCCACCGCTGTCACGTCCAGAATAACTTGAATCCTAAAAGATATCAATAAATTTATATCAAAGATATAACAACAATTTAAGAAATTATATAAGAAATAAACATTATACAGTCTTAATAAATGTTTACAAGCCATGTGACCGCCGAACTTAGGCAACCCAACAATGCACGACTGGTATTGGTAACTAAAATTCCCTAAATCTTGGCGTCGCCAATATTAATGATTAATTTCCAATGAACAATGACAAACCGTTACGTCTACACTCGAGATAATGCGATCCATGATTGGTTGAATAAAATCTCGTGAAAAATTACACCAATCACCAGCTGGTGAAATAGAATACATATTGTGTTTTGATGTAATCTTGATCTTGTTTTAATTTTACAAAAATTTATTTGCAAATGTGAAGCAAATAAAATTACTAGTCACTTGGCTTGTAATCATTTATGAAGGCTCTACAGGGTGTCTCACTGGGAACTGCATTGATCGATATCATGGAAAATACTGCTCTGAAAAATTAGAAAATTTGGCAACATGACAATGTCCCTGGAGCGAACACAACTAAAATATCTAGAACTCTCCAGCACTGCCGGTTATAATGGAAGTGGACACCAACTTCGTTATTTATTATTGAAAATTCGTATTCTACGTGAAATTTGCGGGCGACTTTATTAAATATTCCCTGTACCTAGGAGTTATAGATTTTGAGATTAATTTTTAGAGAAAAAATTTGGCAGATGCAAGAGTCCGCGGAGATGCTAGTAACTCTTTTCAGAAGCGTGATGTCAAGTGGATTTTTGGTACCTGTAAAGGGCATTGGTTACACTAAATCGCAGTATACCAACAAATTAAAACATTTAATACTAGGTGTGTCATTTTTACTTTTTGGACACTTTTTCTCTTCTCAGACCTGTTGTCAAATTGGCTATGACATGAATGATTTTCTTTAACAAAAAGGAATGGTTTTTAAAAATGTTTTCAATTAACCTAAATAACCGACATTTGTCTTCAAAAAAAAAATTAAGAAATCTATATTTAGTTTATTTATACCACTATTGTCTGACAATCTATAGTGGTCTTAGAACCCACAACAAGAATCAAAATCAATATCAGTCCACGGAGCCTTGCCCAAGAACAATGATGGCAGGTCAAAGCTAAAGCTAACGAAGTACATTGTCTGTAATTATTGGCAGTGACCACGTACATAGGCCACACTATAACACCCTGAACACCCTTTAGGGTAATCATTGAGTAAATAAATATACTACATAATGACCCGAAAAACCATGGTACTTTAATGGGGGAAACCACATTACGAGGTCCAAAAAATCGGATTTTTTTTTATTGCATAAATTGTTAGTATATTTATTCAACAATACGCTGCCAGAATTTCAAAACGATATTCTTATTCGTAAAGCGTAAAACCAAACGCCCATCGAGTCAATGCTCGGGCACATAGGAGGTAAAGTGGAGCGTTTGTTTAGGTATTTTAGTCACTTATTAAGACAGAAAAGAACAGACGCAAGCTAAGAATGAGGAATGAGGAAGAAGGACTGTTATATGGTGCTGGAATCTGGAATCACTGATTGATCGGAAAGCACTCAATAGACACCTTTCTCAAATTTCTAGTTCTCGGAGATCTTCACTCATTTTTTTTGAGAAAACATTTTTTTTATTCACAAGCTCAAAAAATTATGAACCAATCGTTATGAGAATTGAAAGTGTTTCTTTATGAAATTACAAAAAAACATGAACCAACAATTGGAATGATATCATAATTTTAAAGGTTTTTTATTCAAGTGAAAAAAAAAAAAAAAAATGGTGAAAATCAATAAATTTTTCTCAAACGTGTCAATCTTTTCAAAATTTTCAGTTTTTACCGGAAATGAGGTTCATATTCTTAGAAAACATAATGCACAAAAACAACCATTTCACTTTCAGATAAAAATTGCGACAATTTTTTTGAAAAAACTACATCCTCCAATATTTTCAACAAGATAGAACTACAGCACATATTGCAGCAGAAACTATCTTCAGGAATTTTTATGGTGATACATTTGTTACTAGGGGTTTAAACATCCTCTTCACACACTTGAAGAGCTGGAAGCAGCAATTGAACATGAAATAAACATAATCAATTCAACTTGAACGTATTTTTGAGAGCTTGATTTATGTTTGGAAAACGAAGATGGTCATTTTGAATATCCATTATAAATTTGATTGATATAATATATTTTTGTTAGCTGAGTAAAAAACTTTGTGTTTATGTTAGCATTGTATACTAAATTAATTAACCTATAATTTATATTTAAATATTGAAAAAATAAAAAATAAAGCAATGAAAATTTTTTGTTTCATTAACAATATCTCATTATCTCTGAACGAAAGTGGATTACAAGAGCCTATATTTTTAAAATGACAACCTCTTTCAAACAAAAAATACTTTTTTTAATATAGAACGGCATAAAAATTCAAAATATCTTAAGAGGTGTGTAATTATTTTCTACTGAAAGAAGAAACACGTTTTGCAAATTAAAGTTCAATGTATGTAAAGAATTGTAGTAATGTACTCCACTGGGCTCATTTTCTGTTTTCAGGGAATTTTGTGTTAATCGCTGACTCCATTGTAAGTTTGGTTGCCTAACAATCGTGGTCACGTGGGACTCGTTAAAATCATTGAATGAAATAAATTTTTTAAGACCAACTTATTAAGGAAGTAAATCTGTACCAAGGTAAATTGATCTAAATCGGTTTTATTTTCATCCAAAGTAGCTATCCTTACGATTGCAAACACCTTGTATATTAAAAACAGAAACCTTGGGACAATCAATTGCCTTTTTTTAAAAAATGATGCATTTTCTGTAATGTAAACAAGAGTACCTCTTTGTGTAAAATGATGTTTTACTTTCTAATACACTATAAAAAACCTAACCTGAAAAAAGTTGTTATAAAATGTCACTGAAAGATGTACCAAATTTCAATACAATACATTTTTTTTAACAAAAGATATGCCTAAAATTCGATTTTAAAAAATCATTTTCGAGGCTCTCCATTTCAAAAACAAAAGATAAAACCCATTGCCCGTAGAAAAAATAGAAAGAAATGCCTACATTTTACTGTAGATTAATAATAAAACTTACTGGTCTGTATGGTTTATGATAATCATCATGTGTCCTAGAAAAGCGATCTGATGCCCCAGAATATTTATTTCTTGAGTCAAAAGAGTTTCTCGAATCTAATGAATTTGAGAAGGAAGATGAAAATCTTCCACTAGAACCGCCCCCATGTCCAGAATATCCACCTCGGTTTCCACCACTCCATGAATTATTTCCTCTGCTCGAATTACCTCTATATCCACTTCCCCTTGGAGAAGAAAAACCTCGACCTCGAGACATTATTGATAGGTTTTAACTTGAAACTGAAATATAAATATTACATAAAAAAAATATTTACAATGTTCTTACTGCCTTAAAAATACTTTAAAATCACTACATTAAAAAAAAACCTTCACTATTATAGGAACGAAGACAAAACCTTTTTTATTTTAGTCTAATTTCTAGTTCATATATCCTACAGCCATTAGCTGAATATTTCTTATTTTATCATATTTTAAATTCGTATTTGTATGTTTCATTTTCGACATTTCAAGAAAATGTAATTCACTAAAAATTCACTTTACTTGATTTGGTTATTTGCTAAAAAATTTGATCTCTATAAAGAATATTCACAAAGGGTTATAGTAAAATGAACGACCTGTATGATTTAACCTAATAGGAACATAATCACTGCATGAAGAGAAACTAAGCAACAGCAAATTTTACTCAAATCGGTTAACTGGGTTCTGAGTTAAGGAGAAAACAAGAAATAAAAAAGAGAAACATATAACTTTTTTGCGACATTTTTCGTTTAAGCAAGTTTGGTTAAATCGACCCCATTTGTGTTCTAGATTATGCCCTTGAAATATGTAACATTCGTTAGGTGATACCCTGTAGAACATTACAATCTCTTAATAAAGTGTTTTCAATGTCAGTTTCATATATTTTATTCAGAGTACATATATTACGGTATTATATACTATCCCAAAAATCCCGTACACTGTGGCTAAATCTTAAGTTGTTCTTGTCACAACATAATTTGTTGAATGGAGTGAATTTATAGTTACCTATGTATCGATATTTAATTCAAAGAATTTTAATCGTACCTAATTACCTATAAGGCTTTCAATTGACTACAGTCACACTAAACACTAAAATTTATGTTGTATATGTATTGTAATTAGGTACAAATAAACTTCCTTTATAATAACAAGACATAACATCAGCGTTGTGACAAAGGCTTATCAACTCATCAAAATATACAAAGAAAAATCAAGATTTTGATTAACACTACTGTATAAAAAAATTCTCTGTGAATTACCGACTAGAATTGAATTGTACATGCAGTATTTAACAATATAAGATCGAATATTGTTTGGTTTCTGAACTGTTAAAAAAAAATCCAAGTGACTATAACAAAATAGCAACTGCTGAAAATTTGTTTGCTGGATAGTTTTCTTTAAGCACTATATAAAGATAGAAAATGTCATAGAATAAGTCACGAAATAGTTAGTATATTGTTATATTAGAATTAAAAGTATTACTTGTATGGCGAGCAAATTTTGTATTTATGAGGATGCAAAATTGGGAGACAAGAAAGACACTTTTAATCCGAATAAAACATGCTATTTTTTCTCCAACCAAAATTCCCCATTTAATTATTAATTTGTGCTTTGACATTATTCAGTAGGATATATCGATGTAATCAAGGGTACTTTGTGAAATATTAGTCGCCATACTGCTAATTGAGTTCATTTGTGATTGTGGTTCAATTTGCTGAAAACTCTGTAAAAAAAGGAATCTAAAAAAGATTTAGATGTACCTGAGGAGATACTGGAGTGTGCTAAAGAGGTTTCTTTGAATCTTCACCCAAAGAAATCTCGAGTTTATGAATGTATCAACCAACGTTTCATGGAGACAAAATGAGGGATATGTACCGAAAAAATCGCGAGTATTTACAAAGGAGCAAGTTGATTTGCTTTTTGAATAGTGCACCTGATAATTTATATCTGAAGCTTTAAAAATAAACAAAATTTTTAAAAAGCTTCTTATAGGTCGTCCTAATATTGGGGGTTGCAGGCGCATGAATGAATTAGTCAATTTAACAATAATTGATAATGTCAAGACGTGAAATCCACCTTAATTATAAAATTGCCCAATACCAAAACCACGTTCTGTTTACTGTACTGGGAGACAATTATTTAAGTTTTTATCGAAAATATGTTGCTTTACGTCCACAGGGATTGGTAGAACGTCAATTATTGTTTGTTTATAGGTCGTCCTAATATTGGGATCGGGAAAATCACTAGTAGTGCCATTCACTCATTTTATTAGGCTGTGCTAGAGTCTATGGAGGCAGGTGAATGCCCTGCTGGGATCTTTTGTGACCTTAACACGGCTTTTGACTGCATCGATCGAAAAAATTATCAATTTATGGATTACGTGGACTTTCATTAGATTGGATATGTTCATTTTTAAATAACCGGAGTCAATATGTTAGTCTTAAACATAGATTCTTCTGGTGATCAACACATAAATTCTAGAACACAGACTATAACCATGGGTGTACCACAGGGTTCCGTGTTGGGTCCTATGTTGTTCCTGTTGTATATTAATGACAACGACCATTGCTTCTACATTCATTTTACTATATTTGCCAACGATACTTCCCTTTTAATTTCTGATAAGTCTTCTTATGACATAGAGACCAAATATGTTATACTTGATAAATCATATACATGGTTCTGTCAAAATAATCTTTACTTTAATGTGACAAAGACTCATGCGGTCTCATTTCATAATCGTCAACGTGCAACTACTAAATTAAACCTAAATATAAATGACATTCCCATTAATAACGAGATACAGGTTAAATTTTTGGGAATTGAATTTGACAGTAATTTGTCCTGGTAGCCTCATTGTTTAAATTTTTGTTCAAAACTGAATTCAATCTGTTATTTATTCCGAAATTTGCGTACTGTGCTTGTAACTAAGCAACTTATAAATCTGTATCATGCACAGGTTGGCAGTAGAATAAATTATGGTGTCTGTTTCTGGGGTGGGTCTCTTGTCTTCTGACGTGTTTGTATGTCAAAAAAAGGTACTAAGATGTATTTTTAATGTTTCCAGTTCACATTTCTGTAGACTTTTTTTAAAACTATTTTATTCTAATTCTACCTGGTCTTTTCATATTTGCTTTGTGTAATTATGTATTTAATAATAAATCTAAATTTTATACCAATATGGAAATTCATGAAATCAATACACGACAAAAAAATGAATACCATATACCATTTATGAGACTGCAGCTCACCATGAAATCACCAAACTGTCTGGGCCTTAAGGTATTTAATAAATTACCTAATGATGTAAAGACCTGTTGTACTGTTGAACTTTTTAAAAAGAAATTAAAATCGTACCTAATTGATATGTGTCTGTATTCTTTGGATGAGTACTTTAGATTTTAATGGACTGCGATTTTGTTATTTTTATGTGAACTATATGTGATCTAATGTGTTGTTAATTTATTTAATTTAGATTTGATTATAAGTTATGTGTGACAAATTCTTATACAGTGTAAAACTGTCTATTGGAAAATATATATTATTATTATTGCAGGCACATGCCATTCTGAATTAGTCAATTGGCGGAAGGCTATATTGAAGACTTACTTTTGAATAAAAATATTGCAAAAAGAATACTGAAAGTCGATAGCGGTAATGATAAACAAAGCACCATTGTCATTTCTGATTTCACATCTGAAAATAATAACTACTAATAAAACGTGTTGCACTGCTTTGAGAATTGCTCCAAGAATGAGGCTAGTGTCAGTTTCAGTGGTTTATTTAATTTTAATACAAACTGTGTATTTAATATTAATGTGGATAAACAAACATTATTGTAAATATTGTTGAATAAACTTTTCTATAAATTAAAACTTGATCTTTCGATTAAAAGTGTTAATCGAAAGATTAAAACTGTTAACTTTAGCTCCTAAGATTAAAAGTAAATACTTTTGTTGCTAAGATACCATTTTTTTTCTCAGTAAGGAAAATGACAACCTTAGACTTCTTCAAAAAATGCCATAGTTTTGTAACGGATGGAGAAAAAGAACTTTAATTTCATAAATGGTTTAATACCTTTTGTTGATATAAAGTATGTTCAAAATTGGATACTAATAATACATTACTATCTCGGGAACTGTCCGACATAAAAGATATTATATATATTCAGGGCTTCAGATAGTAATTTCCCTTTAAAACATGATTAGCTATTATAAACAGGGAACATAGACTTTATAAATTTATATTTCTGCTGTATAACGTTATAATTTACTGTTTTCAAGATAAATGGTAAAATCTGACAATGACTAGCTAATTATTACCAAAAGTGTGAAAACAGCACCTTATTTTTTTAAATAATATCTTCGAAATAATCATGAATCAAATAAAATATTTACATGGCTTCCACACACTGTGTTATGCGACTTATATTAAATTTTCATAAATTTTAGACACCTTGTATCTCAAAAGCTAAGTGCATCCCAACAACATTTATTTTAACTTCTATTGTTAACTTGCGAGGTAGAATTCACTGTTAAAATTTAGTCAAGCATTTTAGATATATCATGTATACAGGCTGTTACAAATTCGCTTATTACTACAGGGATCTCAGAAACGGTAAGATATACGAAGTAGCTTAAATAGGAGCAAAGTTGCATAATTAGGGGGCCAACATTAGGCCTCTAAGAAATCAGGGCTAACATGATTAGTTTTCGAAATATTTGAAAAAAACCGAATTTTTGGAAATCCGATTTTGATTCATTTTTGCCTTGTTTGAGGTGATATAACTTTTTACACTCTATCCAATGGCATAATGAATTTTCATACGATTTGTCTCTCCAGGACCACTATCAACTTCATTTTTTTAAATACGACCCTGGAAATTTTATTTTATTTTTTGCAAGTCTTCGTGACCCCCAATACTGTACTGCTTCAACCCAAACCAAATTCAGAAGTTTTGTCTCAAAATATCATCTTCATTGTATTCGTTCGAAATTTATCTATTTTTTTTTAAATTTAGATTTCTATCATACACTCCAAGTGTTATTAGACCCTGTGAAATCCATTTATTTAAATTACCATCACATGTTACAATAAAACATTATTAATTTTAATCCTGTACTCATAATTATTTCTGGGTTTCTCGGGTGCTCAAAATTCAAACAAATTTCGATCTAATTCTTTTCAGGATATTCATACAAATACAGCTCATCGGACATGCTCTTTCATAGTTGCAGTTACAGGTATAATAAATTCCGATCATATTATGCTTATCTTCATTTTCAACATTTGCCAAAACGGAAACATTTTTGAACATTTAATAATACAAAACATATTTTAATGTATATGTATATTCATTTGGAGTTTTAGTTGTTCATATGCATTTTTAAGAATTAATTTGTCATAATTAAATAAAAATTGTAATGTTTTAATTTTAACGCAATAACTTATCTAATTATGTAATACCATAATAAGTGTGATAATAATTTAAATAACTAGGTGGATTTCACAGGGTCTAACGACACTTATAGTGTACGATTATTCAATAAACATTGAAATCTAAATAAAAAATTTAGATAAATTTGGAGCGAATACATTGCAGATGAATTATTGGAGACTAAACATTTGAATTTGGTTCGGGCTGAGGCAGTAAAGTATTGGGATTCATGAAAGCTTGCAAAATATGTTATAAAATTTCCAGGATCGTATTTAAAAAAATTAAGTTGATGGTCCTGGAGAGACGAAACGTTATACAGTAGGCGCTCGCTAATCGGACATGTCTTAGACCATTAAATTGTCCGATTACTGGAAGTGTCTGACTATTGGAAGTAACCCAAAATATGAGTCTGTCATTTAAAAACACACAATTTGATTAGGCTATAGAGTTTAATATAAAGTAGGGTATGTTTATTGAAAAACTATACTTTTAAAATTAAGTAAAATAATAATATGTATTATTTGTATGACTTGTTAATAATAATAACAATAATAANATAATAATAATAATAACAATAACAATAATAATAATAATAATAATAATAATAACAATAATAATAATAAATGTCTTTATTCACATTATTTGTACAAAAGAAAAAATAGTGGCGGCGTTCGATTCCTCGCTCTTCCACGCAACCACATAAAAGAAAAATAATTACAAAAATTTACAAGGAACATTAGAAATATAAAAGTAATATTTCATCAAATTTATAATATAAGTTTTTATTGACTCTTTGTGTGCCTATAGATTATAATATGATAAATACGGGCAAAAATAGTATGATAAACCATAAAAAATCTCTAGAAAATTCACGTTTTAATTTTACTGTAAATGAAAAAACATATCTATTGTGCGGTGGAGTGCAATGAATTTGCTTTTGTCCAATTACCGAGCGGTAACCCAACAAAACCGTCCGACTGTACAGCTGACCATGCCCACACGAAAAGCGTTCAAAACGTTCGATTACTGGAAATGTCAGACTATTGAACGTCTGATTAGCGAGCTGGCTACTGTATATAAAAATTGATTATGCCATTCAATAGAGGGCAAAAAGTTGCCATGAGAAAGTGTTCTTCTTTCTTGAATATCACCCCAAACAAAGCCGAAATGAAACAAAAACGGATTTCCAAAATTTCGGTTTTATTCAAATATTTTGAAAAGTAATCATGTTAGCCTTAATTATTAAGAGGCATAATGTTGATCCCCTGATTATGCAACTTTGCCCCCATTGAAGCTACTTTATATAGTAGAAGAGATATCTCTTACCGTTTCCGATATCCCTGTAGTAAGAAGCGAATTTGTAACAGCCTGTATTAAACTAAATAAATGTATTTTACATTCGTTAATTTTACTTTCGCATACATTAATAAATGCAATTTTTAGTTCTCCGTTACTATTCAGTTTTGCATTCGCGAATATCAATTTGAAATATTTGACAGTAGGTCACGCACTGCCACTTTTGTGGCTCAAAGCATTCACAAAAATTAAAAGTACCAAGAGATTTGTTTAGGTTTCGACAGAGAATGATTCTAGGATGATTCAAATTAGTTGACCATTCCATTTTTAAGAACTAACAATTTTGAATAAATATTAAAATGCAAAACAACACGTTTGATATCCAAACTTGGTTGATGCTGTGAAAAGCAAACTACATTTAATTATAATTAACAAATTTTTAAGCTATATTTGAAAGTATTCTCAATATAAAGATTAAGGGTTCTTACAAATTAACTCCCTCATATCAATGTTGGTGAAAACGACTGGAGGTTATCATTTTTTACTATCTTGACATTGAAATCTGTACATTTAACTTCTACAGAATGAATTCAGCTATCGAATAGTTAATAGGTAGATTTCAACCATCGAATAAATCGATTCAATGCTAGAGTTAGGGACTATGAAATGCCTTACTTATGGAAGGTATGTCAATTTATTACTTTATTATGATACAATAGTTATACATTTACACGAACAACAATCACTCGTAATGTTTGTGCTCGTCTCATGCACCAACATTAACTAGTGATCACAATTATCAATAGTAATTGATTATGGCTAATCCAGTGGCATTTCATTAAAATATCACATTGTTTTTATTCAATGGAACTGATCACTACTTAGAATAACGACTAATGCTAAGTTAGGACTAGGTTCATGCTATTTTTTATTAATTTTTATATATCTTCCCTTAGTTCTTATAACAAGAATCAACTAATTAACTAATTTGTCTCTATAATAACTGCCCTAGAACCGTTTTATGGAACCAAAACAAAACTTAAAACTATTTAGGTCTGTTTTTAGGGCAGTTTAAAAGCCGCTAAAGCGATCCTTCAGATAGTAAAATTAAACAGAAATGTTCTATCACTAAAAATTTTTTTCATTATCCTCTTCAATACCCTAAGAAATACCTCACATAAACGTATATATTTTATATGCAGAAAACCAAAACCACCACGCTACCACCAAGTTGTAATGGCGAATGGCGTCCATCCAATATAATTACGAAAAACTAAAATATAAAATGTAGAATGTAGGAAACATACTTTCATTACAAGACACTTCTACTACAAGCTGAAAGGAATACTATCACGAATAAAATTTTAATAAAAATGTATTACAATTAAGTACCTACCACAAAAATTAATAATAAAAATAGAAAACGCTACAACTTACCCATCAAGATCACCGAAATCGACCATAGAAAATATAGTTACTAAATTTTCTATGATATCGACTTGTCTCTTGTCTGGACACCATAGATATACAGAAATAAATTATTACCTATACATCTGTGGTCGTCAATTGACAGCACAAAACATAATCCATCCGTCATCGATCCTCGTCACTCCACCACTCCATGGCTAAAAATTGGTCTCAATGATTTGGGATCGAGGGGGATTATCCCTCTTTATCCTGCCTCATCTCGTGTAGGCCTGGACAGCCTTCGTAGGTGGGCCCCATCCGTCGTCTACCCCGACCGCAAATGCGGCCGGTGTAGGCGCTTTGNGATTTGGGATCGAGGGGGATTATCCCTCTTTATCCTGCCTCATCTCGTGTAGGCCTGGACAGCCTTCGTAGGTGGGCCCCATCCGTCGTCTACCCCGACCGCAAATGCGGCCGGTGTGGTCGCTTTGTGGAACCTCCTTTTGTCTTGGCTGGGCCCCGCCGGCTAGGGCCCTTTCTTCTGGCGCTCTTCTTGCTTCGCCGGCTCGTCTGTGTAAACCCCGGGGGTGCTGTCATGTTTATGTCTGGTATGGTTGGGTAGGGTAGGGAGGCTATGCAGCCTGGGATGCGCTTTGCTAAGGTGGCCCTTAGGCTAGCGCGGGAAGGGAGAGGTAATGAGGGTATGGGGAGGTGTGTTTGTGTGTGTCGTTGTCTTCGTTTCTTGATCCTGGCTGTGCTTTCNGCGCGGCGGCCCTGATTGACGCAACAAAGCGTCTTCAGGACTTCTGCGTCCAGCTGACGACCATGGTGTCGAATATGCAAAAATTATTCGACTTCTAATGGTTCGTCGGTCTTCCCAACCCTCCTCGCTGAGAATTTCGTCCTGGAACCTTGACGGGTTTCGGGCCAAAAAAATGGATCTCGTGGACATCTTGAACCGTCTAAATATAGTCGTTATGGCTGTCCAGGAGACCTACCTCAGCGAGGCATCCCGTACCTCCATCCCTGACTATGACATATACAGACCTGACAGAAACCGTAACGGGGGTGGTGTTGCACTCATAGTATAGAAGTGCATCGACCACTATCCGCTGCAGCGGCTCCAAACTCAAAACACAGAGGCCGTGGCGATAGCGGTGAGATCGCTACGGCATGGAGACGTTGCGGTGGTGTCCTGTTACCACCCACACAGACTACCACTACTTGACAATGACTTAGACAAAATCCTTTCCTGGCCTAAGAGAATTTCCATCGGGGACTTTAACGCGAAGTCCCCCATATGGCACAGCGGGACGACGACCACAAGAGGTCGCGTCCTGCTGAATTACCAAGACAGACACGACGACTTGACGATACTCGGACCGACAGAACCGACACATTACGGACCCGTAGGACGCCCCGACGTCATAAACATTGACCTCTTAAAATCTATACCGTTAAATGCCCAAATGTCCACCCAATACGAAGGGTCTTCCGCCTACAATCCAATATTTCTGGATCTGGGGCGAAGACAGAGATATGAAGGCACCTTCACGAGGAGGTTCACTGACTGGGAGCTCTTCCGAGCAGTAATGCAAGGAAACATCGCGCTCCCAGTCATCGAAACCACCCATAATCTGGAGGCGGTAATCCACTCCCTTGAAACTGACATTAAAAACGCACTGACTCAGACTACGACGGAGACCACTGTCCCCCGACTGACAAACCCCCGGGGCACCCTCCCCGATGACATAAATAACTTAATACATGACAGACGACGTGTGAAACGGCTTGCCACCCGCACCCGCCTCCCCGGATACAGACACGACTTAAACTTACTTAACAGACGGGTGAAGGCGGCTCTGGGTGAAACCGCTGGAAAACAGCAAACATAATCCTTATCCTAAAACCCAACAAAGATCACACCATCCCATCCAACTACCGGCCCATTAGCCTGCTCCCGGCTATGAGCAAAGTGGTAGAAAAAATTATCCTAACCCGTCTAAGAACCCACTCCCAAGAACTGCAAGTCATTCCAGACGAGCAGTTCGCCTTCCGACCCAATCACTCCACTGAACTCCAAATCCTTCGCCTTACCGAGCACATCACGGCGGCCTTCAACAGGGGACAGTACACTGGTGCTGTCTTCCTGGACGTCGCAAAGGCCTTCGATACGGTTTGGCATGAAGGCCTACTGATGAAAATGCTCACCAACCAATATCCCATATCCTTTACCAAACTCATAAAATCCTACCTACACCACCGAAAATTCCGCATCCAAATCCAAGATTCCCTTTCCACCACCCGTCCCATGGAGGCCGGTGTCCCCCAGGGCACCGTCCTGTCCCCACACCTATACACCATTTACAACTCCGACATCCCACATCCCCCCAACACCAACATATACTTATACGCCGACGACCTGACAATCACATCCCAATCCGTAGATCCTAGATATTCCGTCTCCCTCCTCCAAAACTCCTTAGACCAACTTGAAACCTGGTGCAACAGGTGGAAAGTCAAAATTAATCCCAACAAAAGTTCGGCTATCCTTTTTACCAAACGAAAAATCCCACAAAACCTCGACAGACTGACACTATCCCAGGAACCCATCTCCTGGAATCGACAAACACGATACCTGGGCGTGACGATGGACCAGCGTCTCACGTGGAAACCGCACATCGTGGAGACGGTGGCGCGAGCGAAGACCACCAGGGCTAGGCTCTATCCCTTACTCAAAGGTGGAAACACCCTCAGTTTAAGGAATAAGCGAACGCTTATCAAGGTGGTACTTCAACCGCAGCTAACCTACGCCTCCACGGCGTGGGGTCACGCGGCAAAAAGCCACTTAAAGTCATTACAGGCTGTGGAAAACATAGCCCTCCGCACGGCCACCGACGCGCCCTGGTACGTAAGAAACACTGACATATTACGAGACTTACAATACACAAACGCTACACAGACAATAAGACAAAACGCGGAGAAACGGTTTGACGTAGCCGCTAGACATGACAATCCCCTCCTCAGGCAAGCCGTTGACTACGTACCCGACGTGACCGACAAACACAAAAGACCTAGACACCAACTTTTTGACCCTGGGTGACCACCCCAACAACATCCCCCCAACCCTGCCCGTTAACCTTTTCTGTTTCAGAGACCGCCAGGATCAAAAACGAAGACAACGAAACACACACACACACACATACACACCCCTCCATACCCTCCATGCCACACCCTTCACGCGCTAGCCTAAGGGCCACCTTAGCAAAGCGCATCCCAGGCTGCATTGCCGCACTACCGTACCCAACCATAAACATGACACCACCCCCGGGGTTGACACAGACGAGCCGGCGAAGCAAGAAGAGCGCCAGAAGAAAGGGCCCTAACGTTTGTGTATTGTAAGTCTCGTAATATGTCAGA